CGTAAGAGATAACCATCGCGGGTTCAATCTCACTGGGGTCACATGAGTTTGCAATCAACCATCCTTTCTATAACTTGCAGTTAACTCGCGGTGAGACCCTAATTTCAAAAGGAATTGGGAGTTGACTACGAGTTAATGATGAACGTTAACTCCGAGTTTTGGTTAGATTACTACCATCCCAGATCGTTACAATGCTCCAAATAAAGTGATCCACTGACAATTTCTGGCAGAGGGTCACTACGCTATAGATACTTTTTTGATTAACACATAAACTTGGTGTAGTCGCAACCCGAATTGAACTTACTTAGTACTCCTTAACATTAATTCCTTCCTAGCTTTCGCTTTATACTTAACTTCTTTGGGAACTACTGATGACAGGGTTACATACCCGTGGCACCAAGGAATTCACAGTTCCCGTCTAGTTCTTAGCCCCAAAACGGTTATGTGGAAAATACTTTCCAGAAAATTGATCTCGACTTTAATTACATCTTTACACTTTTTGCTCAGACTGTCTGCCTAATAACTTGTTTAAAGTAGCGCCTTTTGGCACTAGGGAACCTCAGTCATGAAGATGTGAATAAATTAAGAGGAACACTAATCAGATAAAACTCTTCATTAGAAAATAAAATAATAACAATTCAGATGATAGAAAACAAAATGAATGAACATGAAAACAACTACTCCTAAATCAAACAAAAGATTTCAGATCTCATAAGGCACGTACATGTCGTTTGTTTGTTGAGTCACACGTATAAAGGTAGTTCGCTTTGAGAGTTCCTAAAATTAGCATTAATCGTCAGTGCTTCATAAAATAGTCACTAACTTTGTCCTATTTTTTCAGTTTGAGCCGGAATTGCGTTTAGCTATTATCGATATCGCAATATCAGGATAGGATTGATTAGTACAACCTTTACAATTCAATAGTCGGACATCATGCAAATATGCAAAGTGAGGTATCTGCTGGGTTTTGGCGTCTTTACAAAAACTCGAACAGCGTTTGCCCTTCCTTTGGCACTTAAATAGCGTAAAAGGGGCTTCATTAGAAGCAACATTTACCCCTAGTGCTTATGCTTACTTTTTGCTAACCAGCACATTCTGCTAAGCTTCTTGTGGTACTAATCTTCCTATCGGTCTGTCTCCTCTTATAAGACTTCGGACCTCAAATGCAACTCAAAATTTCCTTTCACAACTGTATGCCCGTTGTCCTTGGTGGTGATTTATCCCTGCCTACTTTTCCTATCAAGTTATTGTTTTCCAGCTTGAATCAGCAAGCGATTCCAAGGATGGGTAGTTGGGTTAAAGAGGTGGTCGAGTGGCGCGATTTTCCCGGCTGTCACTATATGTACATGCTAGTAACACAATAGAAGATTTTCATGAGCTTTTGAGCTTTTAAAAAAAAACAAGAAAGGAGGTTCAACAACACAGTTAGATGAAATATATGGGCAATAGGAAAGCTTTTGAGCGAATATTGATAAACACAGACAAACTTCCCCAGATCCATTTCTTTAGGATTTGCTGACTTGCAGCTTCAAATCATTGAATGTTTCTTTCTGCTATGGTTCAGAATCAAAGTAGACAGCTCGTGCACTCTTTACTATAGAAGGTAATACACAATTACAATTTGAAAACTCTATATAATATAGAGCCCACTGCAGATGTGCCCCTAGTGACACCAAATCCCGCCATTCGACATACACCCGTTGGGTTGGTGGATACCTAACACGAGCCAGCAATACTCATTTCTCGACCATCTATTAGACCGCATAGGAGGCATCCCCCTAATTATCACTTATTATCCGGCTACTGTCCATCTTTGTTGTCGAAAAAGTTCGAGTCGTTTTTTTCTGAGTTGAAAATTTCCCCATTCAAGAGTAGAGGTCTTCCTTTACGAAATAATATGCTTTGTTTGTTTAAATATTTTAGAATTGTCACATTAGAAGCGATTGGAAATGTATCTCCATAGGGCCAAAATCAACCGGCACCTTATTTTTCTGGATTGTGAGGAATCCGTTGTAATAACGCCACTTATTGGAGTAATCGGCTATGCTGATTACGAAATCATAGCCATTTTTCATGGTACGACTACAGTATGGGATTATGGTGAGTGTACAGTTATCGAATTCCCTGATTTGCCAGAGAGTAGTCTACTATCCGTGGTATAGCCATTTTGCACGGTAAACGTGAATTTATTCAATTTTCCTTTTCCATTAGATCATTGATTCTGATTTTACCATATGCCCACCCTAAATTTACAGCGCGAGCTTATAATGCGGTGAAGGTATCATTCTTGTGATCAACATGTCAGATAGCCCCACAAAACCACTTTTCAGACAAATCCGTAATTTTGACCACTATAGGATATACCTACCGTAACCCTACAGTAGGTACAGAACACACGCTGTTGACTACAAGGATATGCCTACCAGGAAGAATGGATATAATTTGTAATCAACATACCCACACCTTAGTGGATGAAGTTATAGCATTTTTCGAGCAATTCAAAACTGATTGTCTGTTGAACTTTTTTCTTCCCTCTGT